TTACTTACTATCATCCAAAGATCTTCAATGGAAAAAAAAAACGAACATAACCCAACAACTCCTTGTGTTACCCGCCTGCTGCTGTATTAACGGAAATTTAAACGACAATGCACAGGTTTGTAAGTTAGGTTAGGTTAGTCAGGTCAGGTTCGAATTTGTTCTGTGCATTCTCACTTCCATTTTTGTGTTTGGTATCATATAAATATTATCTCCAGAAATTATGGTTCAATTCCATAAATTATTTCTGGTATAAACCTTCACTCAGCTCACTATTAATGGTAACATTTTGTTTTATCCTAATTTTCCCAATTGGTATGAGACATTTTTCTCGTGTATTTTGGTTAGGTTAGGGTAGTAGGTACATGGTAATAGATTAGTCTATTTTGGCATGATAAATAATTTTTTCTGGCAAATTATGGTGTTTTTTAGTGGATTCTGAACATCTTTTCTTGCACAAATGCGACGTTTTTTATGTCCAATTTTTATGAGGAATCAAACCCCCAAACAGCTCATTTCCACAAGAAACAACATTCAGAATCGACTAAAAATAAAAAAATCACCAGAAAAATTATTGATCATGCAAAAGTAGACTAACCTCCTATTACCATATACCTACTACCTAACCTAACCTAACCTAACCAAACCTAGCCTAACCAAACCAAACCAACCTTAACCTGACCTGGACTGCATTTGCCTAGGAAATTCCACAGAAGAAAATGGATTCATTATTAAAAAATAAAGTAAAGGTGTAGAAAAGGACGACCACCAGAAGTTGTCAGTTGATATTCTTTATTTTTGCTATACTGTAGTTATTATTGTTTTGATGATTTTAAGTTTATTAAAAGAAACGACAACTTTCTAGTATAATTTTAGGTGTTTTTTCTAGGAATTGTTTATTTACTTTATCCCGCTTCACAATTCTCCTCCCTGCACCACTTTTGTTGTTTACCTCGCTGAATCCCTCTTCAAGAGACGTTTCCTAAATGATGGTGAACGCTTCCATGTATTCCTCCTCGCCATTGCTGATGTATATCAACCTCAATATTAAGGTAAGTTGTTTAACACAAATTAACACGATAATGCAAAGAACCTGACCTAACAAACCCACAGGTTGGGTATGTTAGGTCAGGTTCTCTTAGGTTCCATGAATTGTCGTTACCATTTTTGTGTTTAATATTATATTAGTGTGTAGAAAAACTTTCAGACAATTCCTTCTGATGGTCAACGTCTTCTACACCTTTACCAAAAAATAATCCTATTAATAATGGTAAAAAAAATCTGGGTAATTATATAGGACTAACCCGCGGGCGAAACGGATTGAAAACAATTATAAAAACGCCGGATTTTCATTGGTATATTATAGTGGACACTGTTGTAGTTTGTGGAAATATTTTTTTTTTAAATAAACTCTGCTTAACATTTGTGGTTATGAAGAACAGGCCTAACCAACCAACCAACCAAACCTAACCTAACCTTACCTAACTTCCCAGGTATATTAAACAGAAAGAACTTACTGGACGCGAGATAATACGGCCACATCAGCACTATGCAGCCCTGGCGGGTTAGTCCTATATATTAACCAAAATCTGAAATACCTATTGGGATAAAAACTAATATTAACCCTATTAATTTTTGTCAATTCACCAAATCGTCGACGGCAACGAATTACTTGTTACTACAACACCAATATAAACTACACTAATACCACGGCAGCATAATATATTAAATGACGGAGTTTATCTTTGCAATTATCTTTCATAAAACATCTCCACCTGAATTTTCATTTGCTGACGGAATAAAACTCTCAGTAACTACTTGATGGGTTGACAAACTACCATGGTGGTGGTTTACCAACTCTCTAACATCACATATAACTTAATTATGAAAATAAAAATACCAACAATTTACTCACCACACAGGACAGTAGCGACATAAGCTTGTGTTTAAATAGCTTGATATAAAAATATACTAAAAAATTAATCAGCACATAACAGCCAGTCAAGACAGGTCCTTCCCTCACGACTCTCTCAGGCAAATGGCTTTCTGGTGACGTCACAATGGTGTGTTATACCAAGGAAGGAATGTATAGAGAAACTTGTACTATGTTCCAGTAACGCTCAGCACCTGACTGCTGCGCCATCTCTTGTTTTAATTTTACCTTAAATATTTAAGGTTTTCATAGAAAACGTGTTCTTGTCTAGAGAACGAGCTTGTCTTTAGCGTAGACTCCTGTCATAAGCCAAATACATCTTCATTCTTAGCAACCATTGCATAAATATACATGATTGTCTACTTATACACTTATATATTTATTTATTCACGAACAATGGTGTTCCTTAAATAAAAGAAGCGGCAATACCATGTTGTACAGTACATGAAATAACATAAATAAGGGACTTAGGTGGTAGATAAATATAAGTTAAGAAAACATCAAAAGCAAGCGGGCAGGTAGACCTAATCTTCATGATATCCACAAAAGTAAAAAGCAGTAATAAAAAGACTAAGTTTCAGCTTTCAGTCTTGAAAATATATATGATTCAGGGTGGATAAGGCAGAAATACGTTACATGTTTAAATGTTCTGATAAGAATCACACACACACACACTATAATTTCTCTAAATTTAAGGCAACATACAGCTTGCTAACACTTCCTACTACGATTGAGGAGATAAACTTTAAACTTTGTGAAAGTTGACAACTGCAATCAAGATAGGTGGAAAAGTTAAGTGAAACCAGAGGAAAAAATGGAGAAATACGGATTCTATTTGGTTTGTGTTGTAAATAAAGGGAGCTACTGTATACCCATCCCATTTAGATTGTTGTGAAAGAAACATGTGCAGTACAGCCCCAAGCAATAATACATTAGCATCCCAACGTAATCTAAACCTTCCACCCTGACTGCAGCCACTGTACCACATAGGTATAAGTGCAGCCAACTGTACATCACTGATTAAATCAATTAAATTCCTACCTGGATGTGGTATATTTTTCGTATTTTGGTTCAGCTTACCTGGGCTTTCATGTAATGTACTGTACTAATCAACCCTGCTGTATTTATCTCAATAGTGTCCTGTGATGTAGTCTTTTCCTTCATCTTTTCTAAGTATTCCATGTGGATAAACCTTAAGAGAATAGAACAATCTTCACTGAAACAAGACATAAACAACACAGAATGTACCATTTATATTTCTGCTCACGAGGATAATTTGGTGCAGAAACGTCAAGGTTCTGGACTTTATTAAGAATAATGTATCGTCATTTAGTGCCTGGCAGACTGATCAGGGAATTATACAACTGACTTATTGTGCAATGAACTAATAAATCTGCAGCAGCTTGGCCCTGACACACACACACACACACACACACACTAGAACTTGCCTTTAACATGTAGTGTGTGGCATTTAACATGTGCTACGAGTTTCGAACGAATATGATATTCATTTCCTCCAGAAATCACTAGTTTTTTTTGTTACCCCCTTAAGGGAAGATGGTGGAAAATGTGAGTTTTTTGTTGGGTAAATCACACAAACAGGTGATTTCCAATGTAGAAAAAGCAAAAATCGTTCAAAACTCATCAAAAACCATAGGAAAAACGTATTTCTAAACAGAAAGAAATGTAACATAACTTAACCTACCCCCTTTTTCTTTGTAAAAATAAATGAATAAATAAATACAAAATAATTACCAACCAAACCAAACCTAACCTGTATGTATATTATGTATGTTGTATGTACTCCATTTATATACAGTACATTACTTATTTAGCTAGCAGCGTGTGGCAATGTGCCTGGCGACATCTGGAAGCTGCTAATGTACCACTTGCCACATGTCGCCTGAGAGGTCAGGTGGCCTATAGAGAGAGGTCATTTGACCCATAGAGAGAGAGTAAGGGACGTACCGGCTCTTGTGTACCTCTGCAGATCCAGCAAATAGAACCTACAAAAAACTCTACAGGTGTTTGTGTTCGCTCCTGTAGTTAGAACTGAGTACCCAGAACATGTACATAACCCAACTACATCTTACCTTAATCTGAAGAAGAGTCAGGTTCATCTAGGTTGTTACTGTTTGAATCAATTTGAAGTGTTGCCCATAGTGGTAGGTCACTTTGAGGAGGGTACCGGCGGGAAACTCAGCTATTGACGTAAAATAATCTCTATCACAATGTCGGCACAGCTCTTCAACCTGTTGTGTCATATCTGATACTGAAAATTCAAATCTCCGCTCCCGACGCACCCACGCATTGTTCATTGGCTAAGACACAAAACTCTTGCCCAATAATAAGTCTCCTCTCGTTATAGCCAATAAGAAACTCCTACACTACCCCGCACATGCGCTGTAGACGCTTAATTAAGACGCCGACACGAAGGGTAGGGAGCACTGGGTGAGGGGAGGTCACAGCTTCTCCACTAGACGTAAACAACAAATGGCGACACTTGTGACTGACTGACCAAATATAATAATATTGGAAAATTAATATCACGGTTATCCTTAATTTCCGGCGGAAATATCATAGAAGAAAAAGTCTTAGATATGTGTAAACATTATGAAATACATATTAATAACAGCGATAGAAAGACCAGTGCTTTACTATAAATTCACCCAAATTTCTTATGATATTTTACATTACCTTATCCTCTTCACTGAGTCTGACCGGTGAGTTAGCCTCTTGGGCAGTCGGTCACGTCTCTTTTACACACTGTTGGAAAGTACAACTGGGCATGTATACGGACTCACACTGTTAACAAGCACTGGCCATGTACTGATCAGTTATTTATGATTATAAAATCTACATTGGCTCATACACCCAAAAAACAAATAAGTTGCTCTTAACTTTTATATAACTATGCAAAAGGTTAAGCACGTTTCCATTACAAAAAATAACGAACAACTTTTGTTCATAAGAACTGAAATGAACTGTCGTGTTATGTTTCAGAAAGGCCAAATTAACCTACTGATACTATATGAATAACACATGCATCACTTAACACCCCGATTTTTCTAATGAAGAAAATAAAAGCCTTCTTAGTTAAAAAGACAAAAACTTCTTCATTAGCTCATATAAAGATTTACACTTTGCTCATAAAAGATGGAAACAAAACTAATTGCTTTCCCTAAAGTTTCTATCTGTATTTCTTCATCTGAAGAATAAATTGTTTCAGTAGTAACTGGCACATCACTAGTTTAGTTTAATAAATTTATTGACAAAGCTTGGAGTACAGTTTGCCTATTCTGAGTAATTCAGTCAGGTCTTGACACTGAGGGTGCTATCATGTTCACTGCCACACAGGACAGAGGTTCATACACAAAGAAATAGATCATATTCATTAACAGTATATATAGGTCAGAGTCATGTGGGTGATGTCACTGTTCACTGCCACGCAGGACAATTAGTACAGGTGTAATTTTTCATGATCTGTAGCAAGGTGTATTCCACCATCTTCCTTTGCTCGAGTAATATCGTTAATCACTTGTGTATGGTTTCCCCTCTGTGCTGAATAAAATCCTCTGGAGTTAACCAAATAAAATATAAAAAGTGGCGTCCCTGTACTGAAGGGATTAGTGGAGATAGTCTGTAAACTGTTTTTGTTTTCAGCCTATTTCTCAAATGTTATTTTTATTGTTAACTTTTGAAAACACATTGTGCATTTAACAACAGAGAATAATACAGTATTTAGATGAATTTCCCATTTGCAGATGTTGATGGGTAAATTGTACCAAAATGTACCAAAAATTTCAAAGGCGTACCATTATCAGAACTAAAAAAATACCAATATGGTACAAATGTACCCTTTGTGGCGGCAACACTGCTTGTTCATGTCTTCATATCAGTTAAATTGTCTAATTTATGAATAAACTGTACTGTTGTGGACAGATACTTCATGGAACAGCATCGACCAAGGGATGTCCTATGAAGCTCAATTGTATGTTGTCAAACAAAGACAGGAAAAAATTGGTGCTTATAATTAGTTCATAAATGTCATAGATAAAGGGACATAACTCAGTTGAGCGTTCATATCTGGAGCTGGCGGATGCCCTCCCCACTAAAGGTCACACTTTATGGTTGAAGAAGCCACTCTTGGAACAATCTGCCAGAGTGTGCTGTGACGAGCTGATCAGTGGCGGGGAGGGAGAAAAAACATTGCAGTTATCTGCTACACTTTTGATTGACCTTATGTTATCAAGAGGACATGCAATATTTTTATTATTTATCCAAGAATGAAAATGGGTAAGAAAAAAAGCCAGAAGTTGATCATTTCCGTTTTTATTCCAAAAATTAAAATGGCACATGCATGCATAACAGTACCCCAAGGGGCAGGAGGATGTGCGTGGCGATGCGGCAGTACACCACCGCTCGCCACCACCGTCTCTCTCCCACCTAGGGAACGCCACCTTCTTCTTACAAAGTCATAATCCTCAAAAATTCACAGAACTTGTGGGGAAGGATTGCCAGTTGCTTTAAAAAATTCAGTAATAAGATGATTGTGAGTTGACATATTCAACTAACATTACAGTACTAGCTGGTAACTCCCCCACCCCACCATAAGCGGTGTTGCCCACTAAGGACGCCCAACTTTTACGTAATTAAACTAGCATTATATCGTCCTAAAAATGATTGAATGAATTATTGGTAAAACTGTCATCTGTGCTGGAGGCTACAACTGTCACTGTACAGTAGTTTGTTATAGCATTAACATCGGCAACAACCACTTCACCCGGCGACTGTACCAAGACTTCGTATCTGGTCACATGCTGCAGCAATGAGAGAATCTTAACCCATAATATTACCACCACCAACCATCACACTGTCAACCATAACAGTAATAACTATCACCCACACAACCAACCAAGACACTAATGAACATCATTCAACCATACTATTAACCGTAGCTCTCAACCACAAGTCAGATGTATCCGGTAAACTAGTCAAGTTCACCGCAGGCAGTCAACCAGACATTCCGCTTATTATGTCAACCAAAAACATGGTGTACAGTGATCACTCGATTGTGGTTGATTTGGGTGTCTTGTATCCTTGTTTTGGTAACACTGGCTCACACTAGGTTGGTTAAACCTATACGTCACACTGATTCACATTGGATTGGTAACACTTATTCCTATTACAATGGCACAAAATTATTCACACAATATGGACAACACACACAAGCAAACACGAGGTTGGTAACAGTGATATGATCAGGTTAGTTTAAGTTACATAATTTAGGTTAATTTAAGATAACAAGTTAGGTTAGATTACATCATTAGCATTATGTTAGTTTAGATAGGGTTCAATTCGGTTAAGTTCGGATTATCTGGTTAAGTTTAGTTTTAAGATCTTAGGTTAGGTAATCTGGGTTAGGTTGAGAAAACATGAAAATTCACAGACATTCTAAATAATTATCTTGGCGGGAAGACGTACAGTGGTGTGTAAGTTATTTTGGTCTGGTGGTAACATGCGCTGCCGTAGCATAACTAACGCGGGTCTTGATAATACTCTACTGTGACCGTAACTTGCGCGGGTCTTGATAATACTCTACTGTGACCGTAACTTGCGCGGGTCTTGATAATACTCTACTGTGACCGTAACTTGCGCGGGTCTTGATAATACTCTACTGTGACCGTAACTTGCGCGGGTCTTGATAATACTCTACTGTGACCGTAACTTGCGCGGGTCTTGATAATACTCTACTGTGACCGTAACTTGCGCGGGTCTTGATAATACTCTACTGTGACCGTAACTTGCGCGGGTCTTGATAATACTCTACTGTGACCGTAACTTGCGCGGGTCTTGATACAACTAACACGGCGTCAGGTAGTGGTCGCTGCTATGGTCAACACTAACTCATAACCACCCACACAGAGACGGATATTAATTAAAAAGTTAGAATTATTATCAAAAGTTAGAACAAAATATTAGTGAAGTTTTCGTCAACAATAATACAATAAGAGAAAGCAGAGTGTTGCGGTGAAGCGAAGAAGAGTAAGAAGGCGAATTATCGATTTCATAGAAACCATCTTTATAAACGGAGATTCGAAGCTGGAAGATTTTATTAAGAAGTTTACGCGTAATATTCCGAGAAAAGCGTTTGCGTATATAAAAAATATTGGAGGCAAGTTATACTTAGTTATCACATGAAATAATTATTGAGTTGAGAACCAGATCTGGCTTTTTAGTTAGCTAACACAGTTCCCTTACCTATATCATCCACTGAGGTGTGGTAAGGGTAGGCGTGACTCTCAAGCTTCAGCACAAAGGTGTAGTTGTCCCTTCAACTTGAAACTGTCATGAAAGATGACATAGTAACCACGGCTGCGAGTGGCAGCACTCCTCACTGCCAGTAAGGGTTCAACACAGGTTCACGACAGCACAGTTAATGGACTTTGACTCTATATTAATAATACTTGAGTGGACTCAACTGGGGTTTAGTTCATGTACTGTCCACACTCTGTACTGTTATTGTGTGTGGGAAATCAGTACATTACATCATACTGTACTGAACATGAAGTGTGTGGGGGAGTTCTTACTCTTTTATTGATATTAAAAAAGAATAAACTTAAAATAATAATAATAATGAGTCCTGACATGACAATATAACACTTAAATTAGGATTACTGTAATAAACAATAACACTATTGTATATTGCTCGTTAATAAATATACTGTTTATACACGGGTACAGTACACTCCTTGTCAAGAACACTGTAGAACTTTTATATTTTTATACAATAACTACCAGCCAGGGGTGTGTAACTCTTGTCTCCTACTTGGCAGTCCCAGGAGATATAATCACTAACAGACGGGTATGAATTTTAGCCAATAAAAATCCTGCTACTTTATCAACAAGGTATTCTTCCTGTTATCAATGACCAATAATCACAGTTTAGTGCATGGGGTGTCTCATGACCTGACTTACGCTCGTGTTTGGGGGTCATAGTATAATGAACCAAATACTACAGCACGGATACCCTACCTGTGGATGGCTGTTCAGTGTCAGGTGTTGACCCTCCTACCACCCCAAACAGGTACTGATGACTAGTGCAAGTACAGTAGTGAAATGAATCTTCTTACCAAATTACAGTCACTTCGAATTATAATAGGATCTTACACAAAGTAAATTTTTTCGACTCAAAATATTCCTTTGTTTTACACTAATACTGTAATTATATCGTCTAGGACCGCAACCCAACGAAGCCGCTCAAGTCTCGCTACGCAGACAAATACTTTCATTGAGTCTATAACAAACCACAAATTCATTCTTACAATTTATATTCACAGTTAACTTCACTGAATATGTATATATTACACTTGCATAGGATTGCCTTGGGCTGAGCAACATTAAAATTCATCAAGGTTTTGTCATATGGCAGATAAAATTGTTTTATGTCCTGGTAAAAAGTTAGCACAGAACAATGGTGAGTTACTCTGTCAGTCTGGAGGTGAAGTTATCGTACGACTTCTTAGATCATTATTATTGAGAGATATACTTTATGTCCTGCGTTAAAAAGTTATTATAATCTATGTTATAATGAACTAGATATTGTAAATGATAACAAATCAGTTTATCATAACCTACCCTTACAAAGTGTTGTTTTACACGATACTAGACTTTTTAGGTTAAGTTAAGTTTGGGGCATAATGACAGTACCCGATTGATTGGTTGATGTATATTTCAGAAAATGTCAAGAAAGTACGTACTTAATAATTTAACGCAAGATAAAAGATATGTTAAAAATAGTAAAACATCAAACAAAAACTTTACATTAACTGCATACATTCATTTATCACCAGCAAGGAGACAAAATTGACGTACACAATATTTATAACGTCTTGCCTTAATTTCGTCTGGTAATGCGTGACTGTTATGTACTTTAAGGTAAAATATTAGTGTAATCTTGATATTATTTCTTGATATTTATTTTTTTGTGGTTGATCTTCATTAACTTTTATTCTGATATAAGGTATAACGAGTACGGATTAGTGTCAGATATCGTACGGGGTCTAAGCTTTTCCGTGTTGGTGAGAATTAGTGTGTGAGTCAGTGTGGTGGTGAGTCAGTATGAAGATGAGTCAGTCTTGAGGTGAGTCAATGCGGTCGTGTGAATCAGCATGAAGGGGAGTCACAGTGTGGAGATGAGTCAGTGTGGTGGTGAGTCAGTGAGTCGCCACACCACTACGGAGATAACTATTTGTGCTGAAGCTTCGAGAGAATTGTATGAGTCACTTTTACGAGATATTGTAATAGTTATTGTGTTTATTGTACTCCAGCTGAACTTCACTGTCGTCAACTGGTCACGATTCTTTAATAAATATAATACAGTAATTAGCGAATGACCTGTAGATTAACCTCTACAGTTTATTTCACTTGCTTAAACACCATAACGCTACATAGGGGTTAATTTAGGTTAGGTTAGCGTTAGGTTGGGTTTTCAGGTTAGCGCTAGGTTGGGTTGTCAGGTTAGCGTTAGGTTGGGTTTTCAGGTTAGCGCTAGGTTGGGTTGTCAGGTTAGCGGTAGGTTGGGTTGTCAGGTTAGCGCTAGGTTGGGTTGTTAGGTTAGCCATTAGGTTAAATTAGCTTTGGTTACGTTTGGTTAGGTTAGCATTAAATTAGGTTTTGGTGACATTAGGTTTGGATTAAGTTATGTTAACATTAGGATAGGTTACGTTAGCGTTAAGGTGGTTAATCACCAGGTGAAATGTGCTGAGGGTTAATTTTCAGGTGACCCTAATTAGCCACTAAGGCAACTGGACATAACTTTCAAATTCAATAATTTCTTGTGTTTGAAATTAATGTATAAAAAGATGAACTATCCTAATTACTTTATGAGATCGTTAAAAGATTGTTAAAAGATTGAACTTTATATATTGAAGTGCCTTACAATAACTGGCAACCATGGACTGCATTCATATATATATTTTTTATAATTTCTAATATCTCAAAAATTTCCTAGCAAAAGTATTTAAAGTTGTAAATTTACAATAAATGATATCATGGTTATATTGTATTTGTAGAGCGCCCTATACCTCCCCCACAGTAACTTGCCGGCGGCTTCCTTCCTGCCATACACATGACAATCGTCTCACACACTACAAGAAATAATCACTACATTTGGCGGGAACTTTGTGAAACAACTGACATATTTGGCGGGAAAAATTGGTATTAAGATCTGACAAAATCATAACTTCACTCAAATAATTCGTCTCGCGTGCATGGATGGAATCAAATGTGTTTTTGGAATATGGTCATCGATATAGTTTGTGAAACCATTGTTCTTTTTCGTGGATAAAGTTCGTCATACTTGAAATAAAACTTAATTACCTCCTCCTTACTCTACGAACCATCCAGACTATATAACCTTATCAAATGTCAAAAAAGCCTAAGACAAACAAAAGGTTAACATTAACAAGAGCTTAAACATGATTATTAGTCTACTGAATAGTGTAGTGTAGTGAGCCTCAAAAGGAATGGCTAACAAGCTCCAGGTTAAGTCGGGCGTAAACAAGTGATTCAATAAAAAAAAATTCAACATTGAAAGTTATATACCGCAGGAGACCTTGTGATGGCCTGGCTCTGAGTTCTGTAGGATCAGTGGGTGGCCTGGGTCAGCACCGCCACATCCACTAACACCACCACAAGGTCCTCCCCACCGTCAGTATAATGGCACACTTGCATTAAGGAGAAGGTTGGCACTCCGCCCAAGATATAAGTTATTCACGGTATTTATATTCCATGAAATACTGCAATTCTATTACCATATATTTTTGTTTATATATATATTTATTTATATATGTATATTTATAACAATAAGAAAACTCTACTGTAGAAAAGGAGACTTACAAACAACAGAACGGCGCTGTGACCCAAGTCTGTATCAGTCCTAGGCCGGTATTAGAAAATACTATATGAGTTACATATATATTTAATAACTATAAAGACATGTGGCGCGAGGACAAGAGATGTGCATCACTTCACCGATGCGTAAGACGACTCTGGAGGTGCACATAAGTGATTGTGCATACATTTACTACGTCTTGGAGGACACTCACTCGCCACCATGTATCATCACCTAATTGTTGTGGCGGGAAAAACGTAAAGAAATGGACCGATGACTTTGAGCACATCTTGTGTACCCACGCCATAAATATTTTCTGTAAACTCATAGAGCTATTCCTGTACATGAGAGATAATATATATGCAGTAAACCGCTTAATACTCAAGCTGTTCTTATACACTGCATAATCATCTTTTCAGATTATCTTTGGCTAGTCCTCGCGCTGTACTAAAGGGCGAGAATCACTTGATACACAGCCGCGAGCCACCAACCTCAGGAACCAAACACGCCGCAGGGTTATCGAGAATAATCACTGTTCATTCTCTTAAGTTTGTGTATTTATCTTCCTTCCAGCAGCCAGCAGAAGACAAGAGGTAATAACGCTGGGTACAGGTGGCGTGGATATTGTAGTAACTGGTCTACAGTGAGAACACCGTGGGATATAACACAACTGGTCTAACCCAGCTGTTCACGGCACTCAGCTTTACTACAGATATATATATATATATATATATATATATATATATATATATATATATATATATATATATATATATATATATATATATATTATATATATATATATGTATTTATTTATTTATATATATTTATATATTTAAAAAATTGATTGGGATGATTGTGTTGCAATTATGGCTAAAAAAACAACTTAGGTCAACAATTCAAGGAGCGTTTTAACAACCCCCTCCCCCCTACCATGTCGTTAATCACTCCAACCACCTCATTAACGACTCAACAACGTCATCAACATATCAAGCACCTCGTTGATGACCACATGACTATCTACGTTTAAGTACAGCCTCAACCACGTCACCAAAGACTCAATTACTCCTCTTTAAACTAAAATATAAACGAACGCGTCATTTACTCATCACACCGCAGGCCCTTAACGCCAGGAGGTAATGCCCTGCCTCACCACGCTAGGATCCTCTATTATTGGTATTTCCAAATTTAGATATGACTGATTCATTATGTAGTGAGATGTGTAGTGAGAGGGGTAGAGAGTAAGAGAGAGAGAAGAGAGAGAGAGAGAGGTGGAGAAGAGGTGTGTTTGACAGGTAGTAATTTAGACAGGTATATAAGGTGGTGTTGACAGTGGCTAAAACAGGTACAGTATAGTTCTGAACACACAATTTCATATAACCCACCAACCTAATTGACTATATTCCTTACAAAATACAAGGTAGTACAGGTATTTATATATATCCCTTTAACATGCAAATTACAGTACAGGTATACTGATATCCTACGAGATATACAATTTGGTTTAAATCTTGAACATATACTACAGTCTGGAATATATTCTTTCAATGTACAATTTGGTATAACCTTTCAGCAGATATACTTGTTCTTTCCTCCATTATACACAGTGGTGTATCGCTCGACATACTATCATGCGTTTACCTTTGAGACAATTTGTTATGTGTGTAACCATCAATCATTCAATTCTCTCTATACTTTCTTGACAATTCAGAATGTATTTAATTCTTGTACTAGTTCAGAAAATCGCTGAACACCCGAATAATCGTTCTGGCACAAATCTAAATTGTACATTTTTGGCACATCACTTGTACATACAGTAAGTTCTGTACATAATAAATTGTGTTTTTTTTTAATTGTGTTATAATTTGCCACTGTTATGTATAATGTATGTCTTATGTGTTTTAAACCGTTCATAAACTCCTATGATATGATGATGGTTATTTTAAGACACAATTTTTGAAATCTAGAATATGTGTTTACTCTTTAGTAGTGTTCACTTAATTCAACGAAAAAATATACACACGCTGTATACAGTACATATATATATATGCATATATGTGGCAGTGCTTAAACAGATTTCTAAAGTCTTTCTACATATCACTAAAATTCAGAAGGTTAATTTTTGGCACAACGTCAAAAGGTAGTGATTTTACTTTGTTTTTATTAAATACTATGTAAAAATATGATTTACGTTATACAGGTATTATAAAAAAATATTGGAAATGAAGACGGCGTTAAGTGTAATAGGAAATTCATGTAAGTATTGAAATTTCTATAAATTACTATTATAAGTGTGCTGCCCGTCTTGCCCTCATATAACATACCTCCAACTTAACTACAGTACTGTGCTGCATTTTACTTTCACTCGATATATTATGCTCCATCTTCCCTTTCATTAATTTATCCAATTCCTCCTATTAACATCACACTTTCTAACACATATTCTGTCTATTATGCTTTATTCCCCCTTCTCTATTTTCTCCCTTATTCTATCAATTTAGTATATCACTCATTACATTCATCACGATCTTTCATTTTCCATTTCTAACAATTATATTTCAGTCCCCCCTTTTATACGTTTTCTCTACCGTATAACTTGTACGTTTTCTATGACTTCTATCCCTCTTTCTTCTTATTCTCAATTATCTCTGTTCGTCTCCTCTTGATATATGTTCAGTTTCCTCTCTTTCAGGACTACCAAATAATGGATAGCGACTCAATAGACAGATAGAGCTCCGATGGCTACTTGAGAGGGCATTTTTTTTAGCTACCCAGGGCATTTTTTTTAGCTATCCAGGGCATGTATATATGGAAATGAAATAAGCAAAGGTGGTTGGATCACCCTGTTCTACATGGCATTTTCTCGTCGCCTTCTACATAATACTGTCATAACTCTACATAATACTGTCACACCTCTACATAATACTGCCACAACTCTACATAATACTGCCACAACTCTACATAATACTGTCACAACTCTACATAATACTGTCACAACTCTACATAATACTGTCACAACTCTACATAATACTGTCACAACTCTACATAATACTGTCACAACTCTACATAATACTGTCACAACTCTACATAATACTGTCACAACTCTACATAATACTGTCACACCTCTACACAATACTGTCACACCTGCATTCTCTGTCTGTCTGTTATTTTCACTTTCTGTCTCTTTCTCTTTCCGTCTCTCTCTCTATCTGTCGCTCTCAGTGTTGCTGCTGGTGTTACTGTCCAATTTCACCGTCCATAACATCTTCTGAAATCATGTATACACAGTTCACAAGCCTATTATTACACCGCCTGTACCTGTCTAATAACACCTGTCTAATAACACCATCTGTACCTGTCTAATAACACTATACCTGTCTACTAACCGCTGTCTGTACCTGTCTAATAACACCTGCTGTACCTGTCTAATAACACCTGCTGTACCTGTCTAATAACACCCTCTGTACCTGTCTAATAACACCTGCTGTACCTGTCTAATAGCACCCTCTGTACCTGTCTAATAACAACTTAACACCTGTATGTACCTGTCTAATAACACCCTCTGTACCTGTCTAATAACAACTTAACACCTGTCTGTACCTGTCTAATAACACTATACCTGTCTAATAACAACTTAACACCTGTCTGTACCTGTCTAATAACTTCCTCTACCGTCAACACTCCACACCAAGTACAGTAACACCATTCTAAATAATACTCTCGCGGTTCCTCTCATTGTCATCGGCGCTAGAGGTATTACTCGAATTCGGACACAACTGAAGCTCTATCTCGTGTAACCTATGTTCAACCTCCCACTGCTGTTGCGTTAGTTTCATGGTCATAGTGGCATTCTCCGTCTCCAAGCTGACCAGGCGTTCCCGTAGACGTCTGATTTCTCCCAGCAGGAGTTCTTGAGGTGAGGAATCCCGAGTTAAGGCCCCTGCACTATGTGATCCTTGTAGCATACCTGGAGGAGAAGTAAAGAGTCATTTTATAAGTTCTGGTAAAGAGGATCTCATCATTTTAGTTAATTGTTTGTTTGGTTAAAGGAAGGGAGGGAGAGGGGGGGGGGTGTTAGGTTAGGGGAGAGCGGTGTTAGGTTAGGAGGTGAAGGTTGGGGGGAGGAACTATCTCAAGCTAAAGTAAAGGTGATTATTATCAATTCATCGCCCAACCAATGTCCTATATCCATACATCCATTTATCTCGCCAGGGTGGATGGCAAAAGAGAGAGAGAGAGAGAGAGAGAGAGAGAGAGAGAGAGACTAGGACAATACCTGGAGTAACAATCAGAGAGGCAGGTGAGAGGCCCAGGTCAGAAGCAGGGGAAGTGCTGTGGTCAGTGAGAGGCGGCGGCACTGGTAGAGTGTACGCCACCCCTGACGATCCGTAGTTGGGTGATGTAACCGGTGACATGACGTTGCTAGGGGAGGTGATGGTTGATCTCTTGTCCGCACTGTCGTATGAGGTGACGCTGGCCGTGGTGCCTTCAACAGGTAAAGGGGGAGTGGGAGGGATAATTTAGGTATATGGTATGAGGGTAGTTTGTAATTTTAGGTGTACACATCATATGCGGTAGGACACGTACAGTCGCCTGCACTTATACCTGGTACAGTGATTTGTGCAGTTTGAGAGATATAGCAACTCTGTAGAAGTCCTATCTAGAATCCTTAGTTCTATTGAGAGGTTTCTTAGGGTCATTCTGGGAGTTTTAATACCATGTAAGCAAACACAGAGGCGCCACATCTCTTACAATGTACCAACCAATTACCAGGTATAAGTGCAGGTGACTGTACATTGCACACTTACCTACAAAAGTCCTGTTGCCTCTGCTCCTGAACCACGAACCCGGAGATTCAGACTCGTGAACCCAAAGCAGTAAACACTGACGCACTATTCTGTCCATAAATGATTCAGATTCACGGGTCTGAATCTTGGGGTTCATGGTTCAGGAGAAGAGGCGACAGGAATTTCGTGGGTGATTTTTGAATATAATATATCAAGGGCTACTGTAAGCCCCCTCAAACCCGTACTAACTGCTAAAGTAACCCAAATGTACTACTGTCGTTACTGTACACCCAATGTAATTCTGCAGGAGGTGATTTAGCGTGTAACTTAATAATTTGTACATTTTGTAACTTCCTAAGTTACAAAATGTACAAATAATCACCTGTTTAACTAACTAACTAACTAACCAGGTAAGACGTTATCATGGTCTAGAGTCTAGACTGTGGTGGTGGTGGTGAGGGATATGGGTGGTGTTATAGACTGTGGTGGTGAGGAGGACCTGGGTGGTGTTATAGACTGTGGTGGTGGTGGAGGAAGACATGGGTGGTGTTATAGACTGTGGTGGTGGTGGGTGGTGGAGGAAATGGGTGGTGTTATAGACTGTGGTGGTAAGGAGGACCTGGGTGGTGATATAGACTGTGGTGGTGGTGGGTGGAGGAAGACATGGGTGGTGATATAGACTGTGGTGGTGGTGAGGAGGACATGGGTGGTGATATAGACTGTGGTGGTGGTGGTGGTGGAGGAGTACCTGGGTGGTGATATAGACTGTGGTGGTGATGGGTGGTGGAGGAGAACATGGGTGGTGCAGGTGATATAGACTGTGGTGGTGGGTGGGTGGTGGAGGAAAACATGGGTGGTGATATAGACTGTGGTGGTGGAGGAAAACATGGGTGGTGATATAGACTGTGGTGGTGGTAGGTGGTGGAGGAGGACATGGGTGGTGTTGTAGACTGTGGTGGTGGTGGGTGGTGGAGGAGGACCTGTGCCTCACCTGCAGAGTGTGGTGGGGGGCCCTGGATGAACGGGTGCTGGAGGGTGTGGGTACCCTTGTCGTCGTCAGTAGAATGTCTAGACGAGGAGTCACTCAAGGCAGACTCCAGCGTGAATCTCTCTGACTCCAACGTCTGGGATCGGTGCGCCCGGGATCTGACACAGGAGACAAGCACACGGCAGTTAGTGGTAGGTCCAGATACAGGCGGCGCGGAGGAGACACACGGTGGTATAAATAAGTAGTGTGCGTTTTGTTAAGTTGGTATCTAATGAGAAATAGGTTAGCTGTTTACCCAATGAAAAAAAAAAGTCTCATTACAAGGTTCCAGTCATCTGCTGCAGTTGTTGTCCATAACAAAGTTGTACACACAAGCCAAGACCCTTATAGAATGCCTCACCTGAGACTGGTAGCGGGGCTGTAGCCTGGGGTGGGGCAAGGCGGGGGCAACTTCATTGGGGGCACTGGGGGCAGCCACATCTCCTCCAGGGGCACTCTGCCGGTGGACTCGACCAAGCCAGGGGTGGAGCTACTCCGACCCATGGCGGCTGCAACAGGGGGAGCGGAATTGAGAGGTGGGGGGCCGGGGAAAGGAGAGGGGAGAGGCCGCGGTGGGTGGTGGTGGTGTTGGGGTCGTAGGTGATGGTGGTGGTGGAGGGTCACGTCTAGTGGGGAGAAAGAGAGAGAAACACTCACTTACAGTCGGGCTCGCGGGACAGCCAGGCACGGACGGCGCCCTCACTTCACCTCACATTAAAAATAAACAACTAAAACAATCATCAAGATGTACCACATAATATATGAGAAAACCTCAAGCATGAGATAAGGACAACACAGGAAACCTTCTTTGACTTGAGAGAAAATGAGGAATGTTGATTCGTTAAAGAAAATGTGGACTTGTTGACTCATGAAAGAAAATGAGAAAATGGAGGAAACTATCGAATCATGAGAGAAAACGGAGAACTATGATAGAACATGCAGCATAACAAGGTGTGTGTGTGTGTGTGGAGGAGGGAGGGGAGACACAGACAGAGAATGCTACTATCAGCTAAAAATAAATACTAGAAGAAGGAAAAAAAACATGCCCCTGTGGCCATTACCATAGATGACCACACGTACACACTACACACAGATGAGGACACATAACTAAACATGCAGTAACTATTCAACTAAAGGCATGTGTTTCTTTACAGTGTCAAGACGGGTAAAGGACTGAGGTTTTGTACATCTTACAGTCACTAGTGATAAAATATATGATATTAGTTAATCCTTTAGTCTAAATAATCTCTCCAGGAGTCTACGTTAAAGCAATGTGATTAATTATTACAGTAAAGTTCATTTGCCTAATACCAATGCAAGTGATAAAAAATAAAAAATATGCCTCGTGTCTGTGAGTCTAGTGATGGCATAATGGTCTTGTTTTCTCAGCACTAGGAAGTCTCAGTAGCAGATGTAACATTTGAGAAAGATAGTGAGACATTGATTCCAGATTCACTTAAGTTCGTAAGGTAAACATTAGTGGCAGAGGAAGATTTATAAATATACCTAAACTGATTCATCTCAGCCTCAAGTAAAAATACCGTCCAAGATGGATAATATTCTTCACCTAAATTATCTATCAGTTTTAAGTTGTAACAAGTAAAGGCCCCTGACAAAGGTTGAGTCCTAGATTAATGGTATTTTTGTATATTTTGGATGTGTTTTAGTTTCAATTCAACGTTGAGGAACATTCATAGATCTTCTCTTAAACATGACAAACCCTGGGACAGTAAGTAGCAGTTTGTAGTGGTGTGACTCAGAGGCAGTAGAGGCAGTGTTGTGTGTGTGAGAGAGAGCATCGGTAGCGGACACCGAGGGCTGAGTCACTTTACTGTAGTCGACTCTCTTTCCTTCCCTCACACCCTCCCCCCTTCCCTCACACCCTCCCTCCTTCCCTCACACCCTCCTTCCTTCCCTCACACCCTCTTTCCTTCCCTCACACTCTCCTTCCTTCCCTCACACCCTCCTTCCTTCCCTCACACCCTCCTTCCTTCCCTCACACCCCTCAGCCCCGTCCCAATAGCTGATGGCCGCCCCATGTCACACCGTCACGAGGGTAAACACTTCACTGTATTATGCAAATGGTAGTCTCTTTTTTTATCGTCTCGTTTTGTCTTCCTTTCAATACCTACATTTATCTCATCGCACAGCTGGAAGTTGATGAGATAGAGAGATGAATCGGCATCCCTCTCATCACTACTGTTGCCTAGGATTGGTTACCTCAGGTTTCCTCAGTGTAATGTATGTAAAACGCTCTCTAGGTCAAAACTGTCATGTCAAAACTGCCATGTCAAAACTGTCATGTCAAAACTGCCATGTCAAAACTGTCATATCAAAACTGTCATGTCAAAACTGTCATGTCAAAACAATAAAACGAGTGAATGACATAATATTTGTTTGTTTTTATTATTGAAAAGGAATTTGAGAGAAGACTTTCGTCCCTAAATATCTTGTAAGATAGTAGGTACTCATGAGACGTAGTCATGACAAGACTCCTGGCTGTGTCCGACCTCAGTAACACTCCCGCCAGCACACATTATCATACAATGCTGAAACTTGTACCTAAATTTTAACTGCTAACTTAACCTGTAATAGTTCTTGTGTGTGATGTTTTATTCACGTATATAATGATTGAAGTATAAAACAATATTAAGACTAAGTTTGTGACCAGAGAAAAACTGAAATTATTTTTTAGGCTCGCTGTCCCTCAGGTCTGCCTTTGTTTACATGGTTTAAGTATGGCCGGAAAACAACAGAGGGAGAGAGACAAAACAGAAGGAAATAAGAACGCCTCTCCTCCGGTTCACAGCCTCGCGCCACCAACCTTTCTCCAGCGGGGCTTTTTTGTACTTTTCGAGTCTTTTGGCTGCGATGGCCTCGAGTCTGACCCTGGCGGCGGGGTACTCCTTTAACACGTCCCACATGTCCTTCTTAGACAACACGAAGAGGTCGCTGTAGCCCACCGACCGGACTGACGCCGTCCGTCTGTTACCTGTCAACATGATGCACTGTGTTAGTGTAGCCAGGAGAGTAGAGGAGGGGCGAGGCTAGGAGGGTTGGGGTGAGGCTAGGAGGGTCGGGGTGAGGCTAGGAGGGTCGGGGTGAGGCTAGGAGGGTCGGGGTGAGGCTAGGAGGGTCAGAGAGAGGCTAGAAGGGTCAGAGAGAGGCTACAAGGGTCAGAGAGAGGCTAGGAGGGTCAGAGAGAGGCTAGAAGGGTCAGAGAGAGGCTAGAAGGGTCAGAGAGAGGCTAGGAGGGTCAGAGATAGGCTGGGCCAGAGAGAGGCTAGGAGGGTCAGAAATAGGCTAGGAGGGTCAGGAAGAAGGCTAGGGAGGGTCGGGGAGGCTAGGAGGGTCAGGAGACAGGCTAGAAAGGTCAGAGAGAGGCTAGAGGGTCAAAGATAGGCCAGAGGGTCAGAGAGTCAGAGAGAAGGGTCAGAGAGAGGGGCTAGAGGGTCAGAGAGAAGCTAGAGGGTCAGAGAGAGCTAAGAAGGGTCAGAGAGAGGCTAGAAGGGTCAGAGAGAGGCTAGAAGTCAGAGAGAGGCTAGAAGGCCGAGAGAGTCCAGAGAGAGTTGAAGGCTAGGCTAGGAGGGTCAGAGAGAGGCTAGGAGGGTCAGGGTGAGGCTAGAAGGGTCAGGGTGAAGAGAAGAGGGTCATGCGAGGCTACATATAAGCAGAAATAAAACTGTATATACAGAATGACGTCACAGTGTTGATATATTCAGTCAACATAAGGAACACCTGAAGATTAACCACCCTAACGCTAACCCAATCTAACGCTTAACGCTAATCTAACCTACTTTAACTCTTACTTAATCCTAACCCACCCTAATACTAACACTAACACTAATCTAACACTAACCTAACACTAACACTACCCTAATACTAACACTGCCCTAACACTAACACTAACCTAATACTAACACTACCCTAACACTAACACTACCCTAACACTAACCTAACACTAACACCTAACCTAACCTAGCCCCCCCCCCCCCAGGTAATGTTACAGTGTTTAAGCATGAGGTTAAAGAAGCTAGGGTGTCTAATCTTCAGGTGATCCAAAATACATAACATCACTTCAAACCTTTGGACTTATATAAATAGTGCTGACTGCCGTGTGTCCAGGTTGTATTTGAGGTTAATTACAGGTGTATATACAGAGCCAACAGGTAAGGGACTGATGGTTCTGGTAATACTGTATACTTAACATGATCACGACCTGTTTTGTTATTCATTTATCTGGAACGAGGTGATTTTAACCTAACACTAATATAACCTAGCTTAAACTTATCTGGTTTAAAATAACCTAACTTAACCTAACACTAACGTAATCTAACCTAACACTAACGTAATCTAAACTAATCCTAAAGAAACGGAGAGAGAGAGAGAGAGAGAGAGAGAGAGAGAGAGAGAGAGAGAGAGACCTCACCTGCAGTGCCCATATTGAGGATGGAGATCTCGCCGAAGTATGAGCCAGCCTTCAGTGTAGCCAACATGGTCTTGCCGTTGTCCGCCACCACATGCAGCTTACCGCGGTTGACTATATACATCTCTTTGCCTACCTCCCCTGTGTGTGTTTGTTAGTAGTGTTAGTAGCTGGTAATGGTGGTAGGTGGTGATGATTGTGGTAGGTGGTGGTGATTGTGGTAGGTGGTGGTGATGATGGTGGTAGGTGGTGATGATGGTGGTAGGTGGTGATGATGGTGGTAGGTGGTGATGATGGTGGTAGATGGTGATGGTGGTAGGTGGTGATGATGGTGGTAGATGGTGGTGACTGTGGTAGGTGGTGGTGATGGTGGTAGGTGGTGGTGATTGTGGTAGATGGTGATGATATATGGTGACACAGTACACTTTTTAACCTTGTTACTTTACATCAGTTCATTATTTTCACATGTCTAGAGTCAATTAAGTTCACAATTCTATTAATGTTTTCACTTAATGTCCATAAAATTGGCCATGGTTCTATACCCCACTTCCCAAAACGTGTGTAGGCTTGGCCATAGCCCCTACCAGCACCCCAGGACTCACCTTTCCTGCAGATATAGTCGCCGGGGGAGAAGAGAACAGGTCGGAGGTGAAGAACTAGCTCACACAGGAAGCCCGCCTCTGTGTTTTGGAAGATCTCAACTCTTTTCAACGTGTCCAAGTGTACGTGTATAGCCATCTCCGCCTTCAGCTTATCTGAGTGGTGGATGTGATACTTCCATTTAATATTACTTAACATAGAATAAGACTGAACATAAGGTTATATTAAGTAAGAATCTAGCTGACGACAAGACCCAACTGTCAGCACTGACCTGGTAAACAGCTGACGGCCTTCTCCTCGTCTGAGCACTTCTGCGTCAGCCACAGATAATCGAACCACTTGATCACTTTCGCCTGCAGGTGTGCCGGGACTCTGCGCATGCGCATGTAAGTCTTGACGCCGTCCAGCTTGGCTGAAGAAGAGATGGTAGGGTGAGTAACTTGACTATTGTAGGTTAAGTTAAGTTTGGTTAGGTTAGGTTATGGATCGATTAGGAGAAACTAAAAACATCATTATCACTCTCTAGTCACCACGACCAGCCCAGGTGACACACACACCTGTCACCAAGACGTCGGGTATTATTAACAATACCGATTATCATCATTAAAGCGTCATTAGTTAACCAGGTAAAGTTATTAATTACAGGTGATGGTACCAGGTGTTGGGGTAAAAGGTTACTCGATAATACAGAGGAGATTTCAATGCTTTGTAAAGTAAGCATGTTGACTCTCTCTCTCCCTCCTTCCTTCTCTCCCTCCCTCCTTCCTTCTCTCCCTCCCTCCTTCCTTCTCTCCCTCCCTCCTTCCCTCTCTCTCTCCCTCCTTCCCTCTCTCTCTCCCTCATTCCTTCTCTCCCTCCCTCCTTCCCTCTCTCTCTCTCTCCCTCCTTCCCTCTCTCCCTCCCTCCTTCCCTCACACCAGCCACCCCAGAAGAGGTAGTCCAAACTCACACAACTTGTTAGGTTAGGTTAGGTTAGGTTAGGATAGGTTAGGTTAGGTTAGGTTAGGTTAGGTTAGGTTAGGTTAGGTTATGGTAGGCTAAGTGAGGTGTGAGTGTGTGTATGTGTGTGTGTATGTGTGTGTGTGTGTGTGTGTGTGTGTGTGTGTGTGTGAGAGACGTAAACACACACACACACCAAGAAACCATTGACAGCTGGGTCAACTCTGGCCGCCTCAGGCGAACCACCGATTTATGAGAGGGAAGACATGAGGGGAGGAGGAAGAGGAAGACATGAGGGGAGGAGGAAGAGAAAGACATGAGGGGAGGAGGAAGAGGAAGACATGAGGGTAGGAGGGAAGACATGAGGGGAGGAGGAAGACATGAGGGGAGGAGGAAGACAGGAGGGGGAGGAGGAAGAGGAAGACATGAGGGAAGGAGGAAGGCATGAGGGGAGGAGGAAGACATGAGGGGAGGAGGAAGAGGAAGACATGAGGGAGGAGGAAGAGGAAGACATGAGGGGAAGGAGGAAGAGGAAGACATGAGGGAAGGAGGAAGACAGGAGGGAGGAGGAAGACAGAGGAGGGTCAGGTAAGGAAGATCCTTATTACGGTCATGTGACGGCTCTTGTCAGGACGAGTTGTGCCATAACTTGTCTAGTGTGACGGAGGTGACGTTTGTGACGGAGGGTGACGTTTATGACGGTGGATGACGTTTATGAGCGGAGGTGACGTTTATGACGGAGGGTGACGTTTATGACGGAGGATGACGTTTATGACGGAGGGTGACGTTTATGAGACGGAGGTGACGTTTGTGATGGAGGGTGACGTTTGTGACGGAGGTGACGTTTATGACGGAGGGTGACGTTTGTGACGGTGGGTGACGTTTGTGACGGTGGGTGACGTTTATGACGGAGGGTGACGTTTGTGACGGAGGGTGACGCTTATGACGGTGGGTGACGTTTGTGACGAAGTGACGTTTATGACGGTGGGTGACGTTTATGACGGTGGGTGACGCTGTGACGGTGGGTGACGTTTGTGACGGAAGTGACGTTTATGACGGTGGGTGACGTTTATGACGGTGGGTGACGCTTGTGACGGTGGGTGACGTTTGTGACGGAGGTGACGTTTATGACGGAGGGTGACGTTTGTGACGGAGGTGACGTTTGTGACGGAGGGTGACGTTTGTGAGCGGAGGGTGACGTTTGTGACGGAGGGTGACGTTTATGACGGTGGGTGACGTTTATGACGGTGGGTGACGTTTGTGACGGTGGGTGACGCTTATGACGGTGGGTGACGTTTGTGACGGAGGGTGACGTTTATGACGGTGGGTGACGTTTATGACGGTGGGTGACGTTTGTGACGGTGGGTGACGTTTGTGACGGAGGGTGATGTTTGACGGGGTGACGTTTATGACGGAGGGTGACGTTTATGACGGAGGGTGACGTTTATGACGGAGGGTGACGTTTATGAGCGGAGGGTGACGTTTATGACGGTGGGTGACGTTATGACGGGGAGGGTGACGTTTATGACGGAGGTGACGTTTATGACGGTGGGTGACGTTTATGACGGAGTGACGTTTATGACGGAGGGTGACGTTTGTGACGGGTGACGTTTATGAGCGGAGGGTGACGTTTATGACGGAGGGTGACGTTTATGACGGTGGGTGACGTTTGACGGAGGTGACGTTTATGACGGAGGGTGACGTTTATGACGGAGGTGACGTTTATGACGGAGGGTGACGTTTATGACGGAGGGTGACGTTTATGACGGAGGGTGACGTTTATGACGGAGGTGACGTTTGTGACGGTGGGTGACGTTTATGACGGTGGGTGACGTTTGTGACGGAGGGTGACGTTTATGACGGAGGTGACGTTTGTGACGGTGGGTGACGTTTGTGACGGTGGGTGACGTTTATGACGGTGGGTGACGTTTATGACGGTGGGTGACGTTTATGACGGAGGGTGACGTTTGTGACGGTGGGTGACGTTTGTGACGGTGGGTGACGTTTATGACGGTGGGTGACGTTTATGACGGTGGGTGACGTTTATGACGGAGGTGACGTTTGTGACGGTGGGTGACGTTTGTGACGGAGGTGACGTTTGTGACGGAGGTTGACGTTTATGACGGAGGTGACGTTTATGACGGTGGGTGACGTTTATGACGGTGGGTGACGTTTGTGACGGAGGTGACGTTTATGACGGTGGGTGACGTTTGTGACGGAGGTGACGTTTGTGACGGAGGGTGACGTTTGTGACGGAGGTTGACGTTTGTGACGGAGGTGACGTTTATGACGGTGGGTGACGTTTGTGACGGTGGGTGACGTTTGTGACGGAGGTGTTTATGACGAAGGGTGACGTTTATGACGGAGGTGACGTTTATGACGGTGGGTGACGTTTGTGAGCGGAGGTGACGTTTATGACGGTGGGTGACGTTTGTGACGGAGGGTGACGTTTATGACGGTGGGTGACGTTTGTGACGGAGGGTGATGTTTATGACGAAGGGTGACGTTTGTGACGGAGGGTGACGTTTATGACGGTGGGTGACGTTTGTGACGGAGGTGACGTTTATGACGGAGGGTGACGTTTGTGACGGAGGTGATGTTTATGACGAAGGGTGACGTTTGTGACGGAGGGTGACGTTTATGACGGTGGGTGACGTTTGTGACGGAGGTGACGTTTATGACGGAGGTGACGTTTATGACGGAGGTGACGTTTATGACGGAGGTGACGTTTATGACGGTGGGTGACGTTTGTGACGGAGGGTGACGTTTATGACGGTGGGTGACGTTTGTGACGGAGGTGACGTTTGTGACGGAGGTGACGTTTGTGACGGAGGTTGACGTTTGTGACGGAGGGTGACGTTTATGACGGTGGTGACGTTTATGACGGAGGGTGACGTTTGTGACGGAGGTGACGTTTATGACGGAGGTGACGTTTGTGACGGAGGTGACGTTTGTGACGGAGGTGACGTTTATGACGGAGGGTGACGTTTGTGACGGAGGATGACGTTTATGACGGTGGGTGACGTTTGTGACGGTGGATGACGTTTATGACGGAGGTGACGTTTGTGACGGAGATGACGTTTGTGACGGTGGGTGACGTTTGTGACGGAGGTGACGTTTGTGACGGAGGGTTACGTTTATGACGGAGGTGACGTTTATGACGGAGGGTGACGCTTATGACGGAGGTGACGTTTGTGACGGAGGTGACGTTTGTGACGGAGGATGACGTTTGTGACGGTGGGTGACGTTTATGATGGAGGATGACGTTTATGACGGTGGGTGACGTTTGTGACGGAGGTGACGTTTGTGACGGAGGGTGACGTTTGTGACGGAGGTGACGTTTGTGACGGAGGGTGACGTTTTGAGACGGAGGTGACGTTTGTGACGGTGGGTGACGTTATGACGGAGGATGATCGTTTGTGACGGAGGTGACGTTTGTGACGGAGGTGACGTTTGTGACGGAGGGTGACGTTTGTGACGGAGGTGACGTTTATGATGAAGAAGGTGACGTTTATGACGGAGGTGACGTTTATGACGGAGGTGACGTTTGTGACGGAGGGTGACGTTTGTGAGGGCTTGTTACGGAGGGTGACGTTTATGACGGAGGGTGACGTTTATGACGGTGGGTGACGTTTGTGACGGAGGTGACGTTTATGACGGAGGTGACGTTTGTGATGGAGGGTGACGTTTGTGACGGAGGATGACGTTTGTGACGGAGGGTGACGTTTGTGACGGAGGTGACGTTTGTGACGGAGGGTGACGTTTGTGACGGAGGTGACGTTTATGACGGAGGTGACGTTTGTGACGAAGGCGACGTTTATGAGCGGAGGGTGACGTTTATGACGGAGGTGACGTTTGTGACGGAGGTGACGTTTGTGACGGAGGTGACGTTTGGGACGGAGGTGACGTTTGTGACGGAGGGTGACGTTTGTGACGGAGGTGACGTTTATGACGGAGGTGACGTTTGTGACGGAGGGTGACGTTTATGACGAGTGACGTTTATGACGGTGGGTGACGTTTGTGACGGAGGGTGACGTTTGTGACTGAGGGTGACGTTTGTGACGGAGGATGACGTTTGTGACGAGGGTGACGTTTGTGACGGAGGTGACGTTTATGATGGTGACGTTTGTGACGGAGGATGACGTTTATGACGGAGGGTGACGTTTGTGACTGAGGGTGACTTTTGTGACGGTGGGTGGCGTTTGTGACGGAGGTGACGTTTGTGACGGAGGGTGACGTTTGTAGGGCTTGTTACGGAGGGTGACGTTTGTGAGGCTTGTTACGGGGTGACGTTTGTGACGGTGGGTGACGTTTGTGACGGAGGGTGACGTTTATGACGGAGGTGACGTTTGTGAGGCTTGTTACGGAGGTGACGTTTGTGAGGCTTGTTACGGAGGTGACGTTGTGAGGCTTGTTACGGAGGTGACGTTTGTGAGGCTTGTTACGGAGGTGACGTTTGTGGGCTTGTTGGAG